GATATATTGTTGTGTCAATACTTTCTCACACCCCTATGTCAGCACTGGTCCGCCCCTTACATGAACCTTTTTGTTTGGTACAGCTTCAGCTGGTGTACCTGGTCTGCAAAGGAGTGTTGTGGTCCCGAAGAATGTTACCGCCGGATTTCAGGAGTGCTTTTCACCAACGACAAATTCCGTGTCACCAACAACAAGCTGACCTTTGTGGACCTGGAGCAGAGGATAAAGAACAAGAACGCCATCTTCACTCGTGTTGTCAATAAACAGGTAAGTCGTTAACGTGACTTCCGGGTTGGTTGAAAAAAAAAGTTGTAAAATCGCTGAATAATTTAGTACAAGCTGTGTTTTTGCCCCTCAGCCTGATGGGTAATGGAGTCCTGTTTGTCTTTCCAGACAAATTAGCTCTTCAGCCTCTCTCCCCCTTTTCCAACTAAACAAATTGGATGAATATATATCCCCCGCCCGTACTGTTAGCTCCACCCATAAAAACACCTGTGTGGTGATCAATCATTTGTTTAGATTCTACACATCTACTAGACCGCTGTTATCTACGCCCTAAAGACTCAACACAGCTGTAATCGAGTTCTGTTGGTGAAGGTCAAGAACCGATTTCTGATTTCCAGACCAAAGCTAATGTTTCTTACGTTACATTTAGACATCAAGGAACCGTATGACCGTGCATCATGTCCCCCAGTCCTCCACCTTTGTTGATTTCACCGGTTAAACATCACTGACTACAGCGTTGGCTCTCTGTAACCGTTTCTCCAGGAACAAAGAGCCAACATTCAGAAGGATTTCAAACTCTGGTTAGAGAAGTGTCACATGGAGTTTGACAAGCAAGTCAAGTTCATGGGCGTCAAAGAAATCATAACAAGGACCGATGTGAAAACCAAGATTAAGCAGCACCCGTGGACGAGCTTTGGTGCCATCGAATGGGATGGAAAAACATACAAAAAGGATCAGTTGGTGAGTTTTTTTTTTGTTTTTTTTTTTGTTGACTCACATTTGACCCTTTTTACTTTTTACCTTTTTAATGTTGTCTAATATTTCGATGCAGGTGAAGTCAAAGAAAACAAAACCCTTTTATTATGGTAAAGTGGTGCGGTTTTTGCTGTTTGGAGAATACAAGAAAGACCTCTTCGCCACAGGAGGAGCAGTGGAGATTTGTCTGGTATGAAAAGAATTCAATTAAATAAAAAATAAAAAATCTTGTTTTTATTGGAGACTGAATATTAGGATTGATGTATACTCACCTTGTTTTTATTGGAGGCTGAATATTAGGATTGATGTATACTCACATCCAGTCCTTCAGACTCTCTCTGCTCTCACTTGATCTTCTGTTTTCCTCCCGATGGGCTGATTAATCACAAAGCTCACGTCATGTTGTGTTGTCGTTCTAAAGCTAAAACTATAAGCTACTGTTGGACAGGATTGAATTAGTGATTGATGAGTTGGTTTTCCTTCAGGAACCCAAAGCACTGCACAATACCAACAAAGTCATCCTCATCTCCCAGATCGACAGAACAGCTTCTGACAATGACATCAAGAAAAAAATCATGGATGACGACAAGAAGTGAGTAAACGACTGTTCTGCTGCATGTTACCTTACTGCGATATCACACGTTGTCTTTATACCATACAGATATTCTACAGCACTGTATGGTTTCCTGTTTATTCCCAGTCCAATATTCCTGGTGTTGGTTCATTTTCTTTTTCTTTTCTTTCTTCTCTAGTGATTCCAAATGTAGATCCCTCTGTTCCAGAGTTAGGAACTGATGTTCAGATGAAACAGAGTCTGAGACTAGGATCACACTGGGACTACAATTGAATAGTTAATAAACTCAATGTACTGTTGTGCCTATGGTATCGTAGTTTATCCCAGTGTTTTTGAGTAGTAGAGTATATGGATGAAGTACGGAGCCTAGTACTGGTATCTTTTTCATATTTATGTGTTTGGTCGTTTCAGGCGTCCACATGAGTTAAAGGTGGAATGGCCAGACTGTGAACCGTGGTGTATGAATGATGTTCACCCAGCCGGCACTCCACTGGGTAAACGCTTTCACACATCACTCGTCTGTTTTCATTAAAATGCAATTTTTTGAAACTAATGTTTCAAAGTGTGTTTTTTTTTTAAATTGTATTTGTTCATTGATTCCTGATTTTTTTTTTTTATATTTCAGGAAGTCTCAAAGTGGCAATCCTGAACAAAAATGGAGAGAGCTTGTCAAGGATGCCGTTAAGCCAGACGGTCATCAAACTGAGCGTCCAACTAGTGGTGGTGTACCATGGTAAGATTTGTGAATTTTGTGTCTCTTGGAGTGGTATACCAAGTCAAACGAGTAAATGTACTTTGTCCTGAACACTGACTCTGATGCAGGTTTTCCTTCTGTGGTTCTCACTTTTCTACTTTCTTTGCACTTAGTTCATAAAACAGAGGAACTCGTGGTCGAATTTATTGCCCAGCATGCAGAAAGATGGCAATATTGGTTCAAGAAAATCGGTACGTTTCTCTCTCTCTCTTTGTAATTTTCCTGACATCATTGGTTCCAGACTGATTTTTTTTTTTTTTTTTTGTGCTCTTTTGTTAACAGAGGGTTTGACGAAACCTGGGAAATACACCTTGTATCTTAACACCATCATAAAGGACACCAGAGACATCAGTTATGGAGAAGAGAAGCTTCCTTCTTACTCCCTGAAGTTCACCATCACAGGTGTGGACTCAAAATATGGGATAGTTTTGTCATTTTTCTCATGAAATGATCGGTTTCCTTAATTTCCCTGAGGCAAGGGAACTCCTGAGGCATCAGTAAAGCTCCATCTTTCTAATCTAATCTATTTATCCTCCCTAGAGGGCAGCGCTAAGACTTTTGTCATGGATACAATCAACACATTTCAACAAGTCGGAGTGCCCTTCAACATCTCTCTGAAGCTGAAAGATGCTTTTGGAAACCCGGGGAAGTGCCCTGATCTGGTGCCTGAACTCAAGTGCAGGTGGGGCACAAACATCAAACTGGTTCTCACAACAAGACGGTGTAGTTTTTTTTTTTAAAAAAAGCTTCAAAAATCAAGGTTTGCTTTTAATTCTGTTTGATCGCCCAGTGACCTGAAAGTGAGTCACAAGTCAGTGGAGAGGAGCGGGCCCACCCTCGTCATCAGAGACGTCACAGCATTGGGAAAAGTGAATTACCAACAGTCCAAGGTATCACACCTGCAGTTCAGCATTTTCAATCATGCAAAGATACCACAGCTTAGTGTTCATTTCTGTGTCCTGCAATTGTATTTGTTAGACCTACAACCTGGAGGTGACCCTGCCTGGACTGCAGCACCACACACAGGCCCTGAAGATCAGTCTGAAGCCCGGTAACTGAGAAAACATCCGTTCATTCGGGAATGAATAACAATGAGATCGAAGTGTTGTCCAAAACAAATATATAAATCCTAACCAGACTGCAGCTAACAGATGAGAATGACTGCCGTCAAATACACATGTGAAAGCTTCATTTTCATTCTTGTCGTCAGGTCCTCCACATTCCCTGCATGTGAAGACGGAAGGCGATCATGCCGTAGTTGAGAATGGAAACGCTGCGACATTTGACGTCGAAGTCCTCGACCAGGCCGGAAACATCACCACTGACTCCAAACTCTTTGTTTGTTGCACGGTACGGAAATGTGGAAACGCTGGGTTTCTATTCTGGACTGGAGGCAGGTTTTATTTTACCACTCTGTAAAGTAAAACCTGGTAATTAGGAAAAGAATGATCAAATGTTAGATTGTTTGACATAAAAGTTGACTTCTCCACTCCTACATTTCCAGGTGGAAGGACTTCCTCTAGCACAGTGTGACTGCAGCTGCACCGGAGCAGGACAGATCAGGACCAAAGTTGTGGAGAAGACTTTGAGCAGGGGGCAACCACAAATGCTCGAAGTTCACTTTAAGTGTTCAAGTGTTGTAAGTAAAGACAAACTACAGTGGGTGGGTGTGTGAACAATATTAAAAACTAAACTCCAGCTCCTATAGTAAACAGCCAGCTGAAGAGGAAGTGAGCAGAGCTTTTTTTAAAACTATTTCCATGTTTGAATAAACAAATGAACAACAAAAAGGTTGTTTTGTCAGTGTGTTTGGAGCTGAGGCTAGTCTTCAGCTTTTATTAAATTGATTTTGTCACAAGAGAAGAAATCCAACAGTAATTCCTATCTCTGTCCCTGATGTTAACATTTATTTTGGACCTTCTTAAACTAAAACTAATAAACTACCATGAGGCCAATGGGACACCTTTTCCACTACAAATATATGAGTATTTTGAAGTATTTCTCCTGGTACCATTACTTGTATTGGTCCAAATAGATGTCATTTATTTTTCTTCTTCATCTTTTTTTGTTTGTTTGTTTTCTTCCTAGAATCACAAAAACATCGCCCAGGTAGTAAAGATGTTGAAAGTGGTGCCCAGCAAAAGAGTGTCACTCATTAAACTCTTCAGTCAAAACGACACCAATCTGGAGATCAAGAACGAGGACAGGGTAGAGTGGCCGGCTGGAAGCTCTTTGGAGAAACTCGTCTACAGCCTTTTTGATGAATCCGGGCTCCCGGTTCCACTCACTGACAAAGTCACATCTGAGATCAAGGTACGTCCCACTGAAAAAACAGTTCTGCAGCGAGCAGATGTTCTAGATCATCAGGCAACATCCGAGTTAAATGTTCTTTCATTTAAAAGGTTAACTGGACCACGCACTTAAACGTGGAGGATCTGGCTCAGGGGAGGCTTCCTGTGATCCAGGTGCCAACAAAGGTGTCCAATGACTTCTTCTGCCATGTGTCCTGCAGGACCGTTGGTATCTCTTTTGTAGTCGTGTAAGTACCTGATTAAGTCAAAGATCAGATCAGGCCAAAGAATAGATCAGGAGCTACGAGAAGATGGCAAATACAAATATATACAGTATATTTGTATATCTGACCTAGGTGAAATTTTTAATTGTTGTCATAGATATACGTATATACATATATATGTATATGTATATATATACATATATGTATATATATACATATATGTATATATATACATATACACACACATATATATATATATACACACATACTGTATATATATACACATATATGTGTGTGTATATATATATACACATATATGTGTGTGTATATGTATATATATATACATATACACACACATATATGTGTATATATATATATATACACACACATATATATATATATATGTGTGTGTGTTTATACATAACAATTGCACCTAGTTCTGACCATTTTCGTTTTTCATTTTTCAGACCTCGTCCGGACGAGCCAGCGAATATCAGAGCCACTATTTCCCAGAAAGAAGTGAAGCTGGGGGAGACGCTGAGCGGAACCCTCAGTCAGTGTGAACTGAAATTAACACCTTATCATGGAGCTCACAGCTCAGGACTCACAGCTGTGTTTTGTCTGACAGCCTTAGAACTTGTGGACCAGTATGAGAACCCGACCAAGACTCTGAGTCCCAGCTGTGTGACGCACATGACCGTGGAGGCTGAAGGCCTGGACTCGTCGGCCGTGAGCTTCACGTGGCTGGTGAGAGTGGAAGTCATTTTGGTTTGAGACACACAAATTAATAAATAATGACCTAATGTGTGTGTGTGTGTGTGTGTAACGACCACAGGAGGACAGTAAGTCTGTCCAGGTGACGGGACTCTGTCTCCAGGCTGGGACACCGGGCATCAGAGACATAAGATTCTCTTACTTGAAGCATGAGACGAGCGTCACTATCAAAGTGACGGCCGGAGAGCCGGCACAACTCAAACTAGTCAGTGGACCTGAGGAGGTAAAAGCTGCGGTTCTTGGTACACTTGTGTGTGCAGAGCTTTGTTTCTGTTCATCTTTACCTTTTTCTCCTCCAGCCCCTAGATGTGGTGAACGACTCTGGTATCTCCACACCGTTCCTCCTTCAACTCTATGACAAGTGGGACAATGTGTCCACAGACAAGCGTGTGACGGTGGAGTTAAAGACTTCTTCTCCAGCACTGAAGGTTGGATTGATAAGAATCCCACTCCTGATTTAGACACTGATACATTAGACAAAACTACTTTGAATGTTTTCATTCCCAAAACTGAGGTTTTTATGTCTATTTTCAACTGTGAAAGTCATCATGACAATCTTTGTTTCTCTCAGGTCAAGACCGCCGCTATTTCAAAGCCAGTGAATTCAGAGGGCAGAGCCTCCTTCAGCGTGATCAGCCTGAGCGGACCAAAGTAGGTGTCAACAGTTTTTTTTTATTTCTGATATTGTCCTGGTGTCATATCACACAGTAAAACAACTTTGGTAATAAAAAAATGAAGCTAGCTAATTTGTCACTGCCCTGTTGTTCCACTAGGGGGCCCTATCGACTCCTCTTTCGAGGTTTATTCAACAACAAACCCATCACCGGGCCCTCGGTGTATCTCACCATTCTACCAAACGCCAACAAAGCCGTGAAGCTGACAGTGAAGTACGACACCACAGCCAAGCTGCCAGCAGGGGGCATATTTCCTGGTCTGTTTTTTTATTTTATTTATTTATTTATTTTTAGCTGATTTCTGTGTAGTATTTTCATACTTTTTTTGTTGTGTCGTCGTTAGTGTTCACTGTGACTGTGGTGTCAGATGAAGGACGTCCATTGATGCCCAGCGCTGCTCTGTTGTCCATGTGGCTGTGGAAGGCACAGTCATCGGAAACCAAACCTTCAAATGTGAGGGACTTTACAAACACACACACAGACACACACACACAGATGTGAGCAGGTGTTCTTCCTCTGATGTCTGTTGTGTGAACTCCTCTTCTGTTTTCTCCAGGCCACTGAGCTGAAGTGTTCTAAACCCCTGGATGATGAAAGAAAAGACTGTTTTTACTTTAGGTAAGATCCTCATTTAGGACCACACGAGTCCAAGACGTGTTTTGGCAGAACAGGTTTTTTCTTTTACTGAAACAGAATTTCTACGTATTGATTTTTCACGTGTTGTCACGACTGCAGAAACAAATACATCCCTAAAAGCGCTGAAACGTACAGCATCCAGTTTTCTGTCCTCACGGACACGTCCAACGTTCTGTTCAGTGATAAGGTGAGTCTCGTTCCTCTGTTTAATTGTCAGGTTGACATAGAAACCAACGCCCTGGTTTTCAGTAAGAACGCCATCTCTGTGTTCCAGATCACTGCTGACGTCGTGGCCAATCAGCCGGTCAGACTGGGACCCAGCGTCCCGCCTCCAGTCCCGGTGATCTCCTGCTGCACAGACATTGCTAGCCGCACGCTGGTGAACGATCTGACCCTGAGGATCGTGGTGAGCCCACCTGGTCCAGAGAATTCCCAGTCGTGAACCTGAACCTGTTGACCTGACTAACCCGAGGCGTTGTTTTCAGGATGCTCATAACAACCCAGCGGGGCGAGAGCTGAGCGGTGGGGTAACTGTTTCTATCACAAGCTCCCAACCCAACAGAAGTGTCCCTCTGTTCGAGGGGACGAAGAAGAGGCTCCTGTTGAAGCTGGAGGACGGAGAGGTCCACGTCAGAGTGAGTCACTCTCTCTGCTGCCTGTACGTCGGTGTCAGAGCTCCGTGTGTGTGACATTCCTCTCTCTCTCTCTCGCTCTCTCTCCCTCTCCCCCAGCGTTTGGCTGTGGTGGAGAACAGCCCCGGTGAGGACGGCAGTGCGTACACACTCGTCTTCACGCCGGTCGTAGACTCGATTCCTTCGTTACAGAGTTTTGAGCTCGCGTTCCATTTTTTTAACGGTATGATCCCATATTTGTGTTTCATGCTAATGCAATGAGGAAAAACGAAAATAGTTTGAATGTTTTTGCAGCAATCTGTGAATTAAATGTTCAATTTGAAGTTTGTCAAATAGCCAGTAATGACACTCCGACTCTTCTGACTCTTCCTCCTCCTCCTCCAGATAAAATTCACCAGCAGAAAACAAGTGGGATGCTTCGGAAGCGAGATGAGCTCCAGACTGCAGTTGATAAGCTGAAAGAATACATCGATAACAGCGACCAACTACTTCAATTGTTTAATGGTAAGATTTTAACCTAAAGATATCATGATGGACAAAGAAAACATTAAAAAAAATCTGTGGTGGAGTAAATGACACCCAGATGTTCTTATTTAGCAGTTTTTACCATAAAATTAGAAAGAAAGAAACACATTATCGTCTTCCATCTGTTGTTGGTGAAGGCTTTAACATTGTTTTGTTTCTTATTGGGGAAAACAGAGGCTTTCAACAAAGCAAACAACACAGCAGTGGACCTCCGAAAGTCTTTGATCAGCAAGAAAATGGAAGCACCAGAATCGGTACCATCACATCTTTTTTTTTTCTTTAGTATTCCCTCTGTGTATGAGTTTGTGTTCCTCCAGCAGTGGTTCTCAAACTATGGTGTGTGTATACCTCTGGTGATACTTAGGCTCCCTCTAGTGGTGTCCTAGTGGTGAATCTTTTTTGTTTCATACTCTTAGCAAGACAGTGAAGACGGACCAAGTGAGGGTCTAAAAAAATGACACGATGTTCTCAGCAGCCTGGTCCTTGGTCTGACTGTTGGACTGTTGGACTGACTGTTGGACTGTTGGACTGACTGTTGTTCTGACTGTTGGTCCTGGAGAACCACATATTGGTCATATGCAGTGTGAAACAGTTTGGGAACCACTGATTGAACCACCGTTTGACTGATAAAGTTTTATTATTTATTGCTGTTGACAACAGTGTCAACCTTGTCATCTTTGTCATCCCAACCATGTACTGCTCCCCCTGCTGGCCCCTAGAAGGCAGTACAGTAGGGTTCAAAGCATTTGTTCATTTTTTTTTTTTTTTTTTTAAATTTTAGATTCAAGACATAGACCAACTCCTGAGCCGAATCAGAGTGGAGGCTGAAACTATGCAGAGTTCCTCTCGCAGACTCTGCAACATCAGGGACAACTTCAAGGGACAGCAGGACGTTGTGGGAGTGGTAACTTAAAGAGGGAAAAAAAGGAAAATAAAATCATTTCCTCTCAGTCGATGGTCGCTGAACCTGATTCTGTCATTTCCAAACCTTTGTTTTCAGGTAGGACACCTGGGCTACGTGCAGGACGATGACGCCGCCAGAGCCATCTCCTGGCAGATGAAGAGTTTCATGGATTGCGTGGTCACCAGAACCACAGAATCAGCGAAAAGAATCTTTGACAGCACAGACGGACGGCAGCAGGTCCTGCCCCTGGACAGCATATTTTCATCACCATCCAGGTACGTGTTGGCTACGACTGCAGTATATATGTGTATACATATAAGAACTATAACTATTAATGTACATAAGTATCTTTATATATAAATATATATATGTATTTAAATTGAATTAATCACGTTGACTACCCTGTAAATACAGTAGTCAAATTAAAAATCAATTAAAAACAGGGAAACATTTTTCAGATTTTTAAGCTTTTGAGACCAGATCCAAACTTTCACCAAAGTCCGTAGAGAAAACCAACGGTTTAGATTCACGAAAGCTGGAATTCTTCTGTCGTGGCTGTGGTTGAGGATGAAGTCAATGAAACTGTGGGAGAACTTGATGGTTTTGTGATTTCTAAATATTTTTGCAGAAGCCTGCCACATATAAGAAATGATCGGATGCTCTTTAATCCCACTGGAAACCCCGTCTTCGCCAGAGACCTTCTGATTTACCCTCCTGATAACAATAGATCAGAACTTGGTGAGCTGTGCTGAATGGAATTCTTTGGTGAAGTTGTCCTTTTTTTTCAGAATTTAATCTCAAATAATCAGACAGACTTTTCCCCATAGAGGTTTAGAAATAAAATTATTTTTGTTACGTCCAAGGTTTGTCTCACCCACTCACAAACGCAGTCAGTAATCTGTAGAATTTGTTTTTTCAGCAGCTGTGTGTGTGTGTGAGAGTGAGAGACCACGGTGGGAAACCATCACGACTGTCTGTTCTGCTCTTCTTCACAGAAACAGTCTTCACAAACTTCCTCAAAGACACTCTTCTGATTGATGACCTGCAATCTGGCACCAGTTACAGGAGAGAAGTGAGTCATTCTTCTACTTCCTGCAGTACATGACATTCATGGTTCATTCGGACCATCAGTGACCTCTGTGTGACCTCGGCACTAATGTACTGCCCTCAGGTATGGCTTCAAAGGTTGGACTCTTAGAGATAAGCTCACTGAATGAGCACTGCAGTACTTCCTGATTTCCACTGGGCGGTGCTGTTGCACTGTGACAATACTGAAATTAAGGGTACAGAAAAAAAAAACTAACTAGACAACTCACTGTTGGTTTTACCAAGTTTAATTACGGGGCGCGTTTCCTTATACTGGGCTGATACAAATAAACATGTGGTGCAGTTACGGAGGACTGCCCATGGTGTCGCTGCTGAGCCAAATTCTAAAAACTGAAGGTACTCATTGCTGTAATGTATTTGAAAAGAGGAAAAAATATTATATTTTATAGAAACAGTGGAAGTGGAAGGGGGATTTTTCTTTTGGCCTTACAGTGAAGAGGTCATTAGTTTGATCCCTGGAGTTCATGGTCTTTCTGTAGACGAGTGTGTCACTCTTAACTGACTGATGGAAGTGTGAATAGTGGACTCCCCCCCAACCCCCCACCCCAACGTTCTGTCAGCTGCTCAAACTACTGCTTCTGCCTGATGACATCTTCTAAATATTTCTGCTGCCTCCTGCTGGCTCCTCTCAGATGGCGAGGCTCAAGATCAGCTGTCCCACCATACTGACCAGGGACGGCGTCAGGGTCAGTTCCATGGGCACGTTTGGAGGAACACAGAACCGAGCTCCACCCATGAGTCAGATGTCAGTGTTTGGAGCTCCGCTCCCTCCACAGTACTACGCTCTGCAGCAACAAGCAGGTGATGCTCTGTGGGTTTTGTTCTTCGTCTGGGCTCTAGGGAGGAATTAAGTGATGAAGATGAGGTCGGTCCAACAAATCGTCAGAGCCACGATCTCTCCAGATTGTCCGTCTGAAAAAGGACAAAGAAGAGAGTTGACGTAAAAGTTCAAATTAGCTCACGGCCTACGAATTGATTTGTCACCTTGGTCTTACAAATTTCCAAAGGCCTCGGCTGTATTTTTCATTCAACAAGAACATTTTTTCAGATCACAGATAGGTGGCGCTAAAAAAAAACCAAAGTTCTGAAAAACAGAACTGCATGGAAATATTTTACGGGAAAAGTTATCTGACAGTTTGTTAGAGTTAGCCCTCGACGTGTGTTAACTGAGAAAGGTCACCTAACGACAAAGAATGAGCTAACAGATGGCTAATAGTTAGCACAGTTAGCCTCTTTTCAGTGGTGTTCAAAACAGTCCTCTCTGACAGACGCCCTCAGCCGTTACCGACAGGCTGTGGAGAAAAGACAAGCAGTGGCCAAAAAGGTTGAGAACCAGCGTCGGAAAGTGTCGTCATTGGACATGAACAAGAAGAAGCAGGACCTGACGGAGAAAACCAAACAGCTGGAGGAGATAAAAGCTCTGCTAGGTCTGTGCTTTTCTACGCTTATGTTTGGGTTAAAAGTTATGAATGAATTTTTTTCACTCCATGACTCGTCTTTTGCTTCTGTTGATTACAATGAGCTACTTATTGTTCAAATGTTTTGGCTAACTTTTAGCTATTTTAAAGCTAAATTGTAGCTGCCTGTTCAGCTGCATTACTGCTTAGCTTAGCCTATATAAATGTCTAGCTTTTTATTTAGGTTTTTTTTTTCATACTGAATATTGATTTTTTTTTTTTTTCATACTGACTATTGATTATTTTTTTATTAGCTGTTTTTGCTCTATTTTAGCTCCTCTCCGTGTTGCGCCAGTTGTCCAACTGTGGTGTGAATTTCCAATTTTATTTTTTTTTTCTTCTTTCTTTAGAATCCACCTCTGAGAGTCGGAGGAAAAGAGTTTCGACCGAAACTTCTCAATGTGATGCCAGTGCAAGAAAAAGACCTAAATAAATAAATAATAATAATTAAAAAAACAAAAAAACTACTGCAGTTCAGAGATCAGAAATGTTAGCAGTGTCGTAGCTTTACCTTTCCTCATCATTTTTTTTATAATATCTACAATTCCAGTACGTACTATTCTTTATTCATTATTCATTATTATTTGATGGTTTTAAAAACAACATGTTATGCTGGAACAATCAAACTGTGTGAACGTTATAGTATATTTGCTGTAGTTACTCTCTCTCTTTGAACAATTTGCTCCAAAACTTTAACCTTTACCTAATTATAATAATAATAATTATTATTATTATTAGTAGTAGTAATAATAATAATAATGCCACTTCAACACTTTACTTCACTTTGTCCCTATGGTTTTTCTTTTTTCTATTTACTGTGAGAGCAGCTGTGAGACTTTTTGGTTGTAAACTTTCTTCTCCTAAACGGTACCACTTTACCTTCAATTATTGACCTGTGATTGTGTTGTTATAAATTGTCGACTTTCTTCTCTGTATGTTCTCATAAATGACACATTTTCCTCTCCTAAAACTGTGACTTTTTTTTTCCAGACACTACGTATAATTTACGGCTTTTTATTCAAATGAACATACGGCGTTTTTGTTTTGTTTTTAAATATATGAACGTACGAATTTATTTTGACAAACCAATAACTTTATTCTCATCATATTTGTCATTTATTCTTATATGTTTGACCCCCCCTCACCCCCCCATCCCTTCTCCCTCCCCCCTCCCCTCGTATCGTCTGATATCGTGTCCCTCAGTGTTGCTGTTGAGAGTTTCCTTTTCCAGAAAGAAGACGGACGGTGGTGGGAAGGACGGAGGCGTCTCTTAGTTCAGGAGGGACTGGAGGAACGTCACGGACCACGGAGGCTGTGAAGGTCTGTCTGGTCGGAGGAGAACCACAGTCAGAGAGAAGTTCTCCACGGATCCTCCATCACACCACACCACACCGAGCCCCAGCGACCATGCCGTCTGCCGCAGCTGTGCTGTTTCTCCTCGTCCCTGTCATCGCAGGAACACCGTTCCACCACAGTTGGTACCACAACAGTGGCCAGTCCGGCACCGACTCACGGCACAGGAATAGGTCAGTGCACCGGACCGGACCGGACCGGAACTCCAATGCAAACGTTGTTTGTTTGTTTGTTTGTTTGTTGAGTTCGCAGCCTTTAGCGTTTAACTCACTGTTCACGTCATTAATTCCCCCGTTTTCCTGCAGGAACTGGTGCGCGTACGTCGTGCACAAGAACGTGAGCTGCGCCGTGGTTGGAGGTTCGGAGAGTTTCGTTCAACCTGAGCTGTTACCGTGTCCGCCCGAACTGCCGCACTGTCAACAACAAGTCATGTAAGTTTGGATTCGAACGTCATGTAAAGACAACAAACGGGCACTTCTTTTAACCACAGCAGCAGTGACGTATGAAAACGTAGTAGTAGTAAGAACCTGGGGTTTGGGTTTGTGTAATAGGTCTATGTTTCTTATACATTATTTTATATAAATTTGTTTATGTGAAATCTGGGCCTGTTTAGTTGAATACAACGCTGATATAGTCACAGAAATTGAAGAAAGACACAAAGATCTTCTTAACAGCTCTGTTTTTATTTTGATAACAGCGTTTAGATTTGCTAAAAACCATGTGACTGTTGAACAGTTTAAGCAAAAATTCCAAAGGAAGATAACTTAGATTTTTTTGTCTCAAGTTCGTGTTTTTCTTTCTTCTAACCTTTAGTCACAACATTCACTCAGCTCAGATTGTGTGATTTTTATTATTTATTTATTTTTAATGTAAAGCTTTAGATGCACAGATTACATAGCTAAAGGCTGCCACCTAGTGGAAGAGTGTTTAATTGTTCTGCCTGTCACTGTCACAAAGACAAGCATAGATAAAATATTGCGGTAAATTAGTAATAGTTTTGAGACCATTTAGGTGGAACTGGATAAGAGTCTCTGAGGGCACACTAATGAGCCGCGGGTCAGGGGTTGGGAATCACTGACCTCAGGTATCTGAGCTGTTAGGAACAACTTTATCTGTTTCTGGGCTCTTTTGTAGCCCACGTTGACGAACTAAAGTTTAATGTTGTCAAAGATGTTTTAAAGCAGAATATAGTAACATTGGAGCGCCTAGTGCGGGGGGTCGACGGTCGGGGGGGGGGGGGGGGC